AAAGTCGTACGAAAATGAAATTGCATATTTAAGATTTATATATGCCTGGGATATTATAGCAACTTTTTTGTCAAAATCTTCTATCTGGAAGTGGCACTTTATATCATGCGTAACACATTTTTATGATTTTCTCAAAAACGGCTCTAATGATTTTGATTAGACTCAGTGTATCCATATATAATTAAGTAATTTTTAATATCATTTAGGTCTCATCCCCCACTGATGTCACTTAAGAGGGCTTAAATTCCTAAAGTTCAAAATTTATTTTTCTAAAGGACCTTTAATTTGATCTATTTTAAATTATTAACTATCTCTCATTTTTAGGATTTATTAAAAAAGGCTAAATATAACTTTTGAAAGAATTTGATAATTTAATAAAAGAGAAAAAAAAAAAAAGTTTAACCAGGTCGAAAATGAATCTCCGGAAATAATAGTCAGGGGGTATAAGTTTAATATATTGTTGGAAAGCAGAGAATTTAAGAAAAAATAATATCTAATAAATAAAGTTGTAGGAAGTAACGGAGAGTGATGAAAAAAATATAAATAATAATTTCTGAAAACTATCATTATTTAACGTAAATCACACATTTCCAAGGAAATTAAATAAAATTTTTTTACTAAATTTAAACTTTTAAATTTATTTTAAAAGTTTGAAAAAATCATTTAAAATCCACTGAATTAAAGCAATGATATTGTTTAAAATACTATTTCATTGTACTTGTATGAAAGAAGAATTGAAATATAAAAATATTTCATGAATATGTTTATAACCTTAAATACATTTAGTGTAGTTTAATAACTCTAGATCGTGTGTTATATTTAAATAATTAGGTATGCATTGTCCGTTTATTCCGAAACATCATCATGTAACTTTTTAGAAATTTAAATTAGTGAATAATTTCATGAAATTTCATCTTGTGATAACCGAAAAGTATCCATTTACAAATAGTGTGACAACTTTTGAACTATATATGCCAGGCAATGAAAATCTCATAATTTAATTTTAGTAAACTTTACTATGGAAAATATGTTTAATAACTAATAGTCGTACAATCCATAATCAATGGATCCTAAAATCCATATAATAAATAGGATTTTTGTTATTTTAATGATTTTCTAGCTGTAAGCTTAAAGCTTTCACTTAGTCAAAAATACACTTTAAAATTTTTATAATACCCAACATTTCCAGAAAATAATTTCTATTCCAATTAGAACAGTAAGTGGAAATTATGAGCATCAGATTTTTCTTTTTAACACACTCGAGACTTTTTTTTTTATAATTAATAAGTTGTATTTATAGTTAAGTTTAATATCTATCTTCAATTTATTTCAAACTATAAAATGGATTAACTAAAAAAACTGTTGCAACCTGCTACATTTTATTGTATCAGCAGAATAATCCTGCATTATTTGAAAAAAATATATATCAATTGATCAAGGTCCAACAATTGAAATCTTGTAAATTTAAAATGTCCTAGCTTTCTGCAAAAAAAAAGTTAGATATAGTACTCTTACACAAAATATCAATTTGGATATTGATTCTTAAAGAAGAATGTTTTGTTAGTTGTTGAGTTTTAAATATGGAAAAAAAATGTATATATATCGAATTCATAGTTTTCAAAAATATCTAACAATAATAAATATTTCTTTTCCTTGTAAGAAGAGAGCCACAACATGAACCAGTGAAATTTCATAGGAGGAGCATTTAAGAAAATTGAAATCCAACAATTAGTGGAGCAACATATTGCTGAAACAGGTCAATCATATGATAATAAGGTATTAATATAAGCCAAAGATTTTATAAAAATTAGACGTGATAATATTTTTTGAAAGATGAAAGATAATAAGAAATAGATTGAAACTTGTATTTTCTATGTAAAATAATGAATAAAAAAAAATTATTTGTATTTTATTTCCAAGATACTAAATTACAAAAAATGTATTAATTTATATATTTCCAGGAAAAAGTTTTTTTTTACAAAATGAAGTGAGAAGGAAAACCACAGATATTATAAATAAAAAAACATTTTATAGTAAACTAGCTAAACATTTTTTATGGCTATTGTTGTTTTTTGAACTTTTTTAAATGACTAGTGAGCCGAAATGTTACATAGTGAAATTTCTTGTTAGAACGATTTTTAAATAAAGATTATGTGATTAATGAGGTCTTTTTTTAAAATAATATTATTTGTATATTGATTAAATACAGTAATAAAACAATTTATTTTATATTTTAAAAACACAAAATTAATGACTAAATAAAGTAGATTCCCTGTATTATAGACTGATCATCCACCAGTAAGTATTATGTTATGAAATTATTAAATAATTTTGGTATTTTATATGTGAAATACCTTTTCTGAAAAATATTTTAACACTTTACAATTAAAATACACTGTATTTGAAAAACACAAAATACTTGGTATTTCAAATACCAAAATGTTTAAATATAATAATTAAAATAATTTTTGTCCAGGTCTGTGCTAGAGTGAGAACGCTTGAATTTAGAGATATAATAGTGAGATAAAATATGTTGCTATTTTAAAATTAATAATGAAAATAGAAAATTATATTTTTCAGCAAGACAATGATTCCAAAAAGATAGCTTGGATAACTAAGATTTGGATCTTGTAAAATGTAACCTCACCTTAGTCACCTTATTAATCTGAAGGATTGAGTCAGAAAACATTTAGTCAAATTTCTCTAATTCAAGGAGTGTGATTACTTAGTAATGCAGACAATTTCTGTGTCATTGACCCAAAAATATTTTAATTTAATGCCATAGCTTCTTGAATGTGTTCTAAAGGCCAGAGTAATAGATTAATTAAGTATATTTAATATAGTAATAGATTAAATTTAGAATAATAATAATGGAGTGTAGGCATTAGGATTGTGTTATTCATTGTTTTTTTTTAATAATTTATTTATACTGCAATGTTACTTTGTTTATATGATAAAAATATGTTAAAAAAAAACTATTGATGTTAACATTAAATGGCTATGTTATTGTAAATTATACCCTACTATAATAGCTATATATTTTTTATCCAATTTTAATATTTTAGGGAGCACCTTTAATAACTCTTTATAGTTCACAAAAATTTGATTTCATTTTTGTATATATATATATATATATATATATATATATATATATATATATATATATATATATATATATATATATATTATATATATATATATATATACATATGAGCACAGAAACAGTAAATAAAAATGTAAACAATCATCATCAATGAATAAAAATTATACTTAAAAATGATTATGTAATACAATAAAATTGTTTTCTTTATTTTTTAAAAAATATTTTTTTAATTTAGAATGTATCATATTCCAAAAAAAAATTCAAAGATAGAAAATCTAAGGAAAAAACAATTCAAAGAAACTTATATTAGAAATTGCCAACATATATATCATATATTGTATTAAAAAGGTGTTCCTCAAAATAATAAAATTAGATTGAATAATATATACCCTTGAAAATTTAACTATAATATTTTTATCTGAGTATATTTTGATTTTATAACTAGTAAACTAATATAGTACGCATACTTTTTACTTAAACTGTACATGAGATCCTTGTTTAAATAATTCCATAACATTAATATTTTTAAGAGTATATTCCATTTGAAAATATATCTGCTCTTAAATGAAGAGCACTAGTTTTAGATAATCGCGTTTCACACAATTTTTTGTTTCATTATATAATTTCTGATTATTAAAATAAAATAAATCTTACTTAACTTTAATAATAAAATGTAGAATATTAACGGACCTAGTTATCTTTAAATATTATTTTTTTTTAATGTTCAGTTTATGTTTAATATTTTTAACTGTAAATTGCCTGATAGGTTCATATTTGTTCTTATTTTTAGAATATTCTAGTTTACAAACAATATTATTCATTGGTTAGTGGTGTGATTCATATCTCAATGACATCATTTTTTATCTTTGAATACTGAAAGGACACACAAAAAAAATCTGAAGTGTTGATTATAGTTTTAAAAAAATAATATGAAAAGGTGTTCGAAAATGATTCATGATCAGTTTTTCATATTGAGGAAAAGAATAAAAATGTTTTTTTATTATTTCAATAATTTGTGGATTTATCCTGTCTATTTTTAATGCTAAATTAAGAAAAATATATATATATTTTTTGTATTCATATTTATAAACTCAATGAACTTATGATATATATATTAAACATGAAAAAAAGACAGACAATATATAATAAAATGTATTTAATAAAAAAAATGTTTTAGTTTATTTTCTATGATTAACACAACCACAAAAATTTATGACTGCATCAAAGCTAAACTTGATAAACTCATAATTTAAAAGAGTGTAGATAAAATTTTAACAATCATATTTAATGATTTCGAATATCCCTTTTGCTATAATTTAGTATTAATTCCTAAATTGTGACATTTTATAAAATCAGATGACAAAGCTAAGTAAATATAAAACATTTATTTATTAGTGAATGTAAAATAATTAGTGACTGTAAAGAGTAGAATAGATGAATGAATGAGATGACAAAATATATAATGTTTTGCAGAACAATAAACATATTTTTTGAGGAGCATAAACAATTCTGAAATACCAGTCTGTTTATCATTAATAATATTTTAAGCATAAAATGGAAATGTACATATTTCTCATTTGAAAAAAAAAAAGAAGAAATATATTTGTATTTAAAGGTTAATGTTCAGTTAGAGGATGTGTTAAAAAATAACTAGTCTTCTTGATTGTTAATATGCTGTATGAAATATTGCATAAAATGATGTATCTGTGAGTAAACATGTTCTGTAACTAAAATGTAGTACCATACTATTTGATTTGCTTGGACGAATTTTCATTAAAGAGGGGAATGAATAGTTCACATTGGTTGTAAAATCCCTCCTTTGAATCAAAGTTGATTTTGCTTATCAATGTTTTATGGGGGATCATAATTAGGAAATCCTTTTGTTTCACTTCTTAATGTAAAAATAAAAAAGGAGAGACTTGAAGTGGCTCCTCTCTAGCTCAGCAAATATCCCCTAGATGGTGCTCCAAAACGTAAACAAGATTTTGCCTTCTAATGGAATGCAACTCCATAACCTAAATCGGGTGAGGTTTGACCTTTAAACTGTTCTTAATGAGCCTGATTTTAATATGTGTTTATATAGATGTCTAATGAGATAGTCGCATCAGCATAACATAGACTGATGGTTTTGTAAATCTACTGTGTTGGAACATATTTCCTTATCTCTTGCTTAGGGCGGGGATGATATGTCGGACAGCGAGAATTTCGATGAAAACGACTTTTTACTTAACTCTTCAGACGCCGAAATACGCCGATCTGTCAAGAGGAGAATGGGATTTTTCAAAAAATGTTGCTACCTTCTGAGCTGTGGGTAAGTACCGAAAGCAATATGGCCGTAGTCATTATGACACAATGCGTCGTCTCTGTATTGTATAGCAAATTTCCGTAAAATTTTCAATATTGCAATGACGTCTTCATCACTCTGTTTGGTAGAATTATCATCCTCATCGACCACTTTAGCCAAAGAAGACATACCTCTTATAAATAAAAGACCCCATCAAGGACCTTTTTTGAGGTACATAAAGGTTAAGAATCAATAATTTCCTCCTTTGCTTTCCTTGTCTATTAATTTCTTCACTTACTTTATTTGTTATTTACGTACACTCACTTCCCACAGAAAAAACCTTTAGTAATTTAATTGTAATCATTACAACGCTGATACCCTGATTACTTATGTATACAAAGTTCTATTTTCAGATTTGAACTTTCATAATGTATCCTAATTATACATGAATAGAAATCTTTCTTCAGCATTATATTCTTTACTGTTTTTTTTAAAAAAAAGATTAACAGATCAATTCTGGTGTATTTCTAAGATTACTCATGGAATACTTGTTTGACAGATGCTGTCATTGGTTATGGAAATCATGTTGTTGCATGGAAAAAGAACTCAGAGCAAGAACTATTACAATTGGAAGGCCTTGCGCAGAAAAATATCCCCCAAATGTTATTCGTAATCAAAAATACAACATTATCACATTCCTCCCTCTAGTAAGTTATTTTTTAAAAATTTAATTAACATTTTGTCAATTATTTTGCATTAATCAATCTTAAGAAATCTGGTATTTGTTTTCATGTTTATTACTTTTAAGCTTATGCACTTTACCTGTAAAGATAGTTGCTATTGTTCTTATCAGTTGAGTAAAAATATGACTATTGAGTTTAACAGGAAGTTAATGTTGATAAAGTACTGTCAACTACATGTATACTTTCCTGTTAAACAAAGCAAGATATATTCTTTTAAACCTCGTGTAATAATTATAAAAAAAATTATTGGCATATATATATATATATATATATACACACATGTATCATTTACATTTTAATTGCATTAGTTTTCTTTTATTTATTTTTATTTTTCAAGTCTGATGCCATGATTCATTCAGAAACAAATTATTTTATATGTTTATAATATATTATTGTTTATATATAGTTTTATTATTTGTGTAAATGTGCAGTAATATATTATTTATATGATCCTAATGTCTAATGATTTTTTCAACTATTGTAAAATATGGAACGATACAATACTATTATTGTTTTTATATGCACATTTCTTTGTATTCAATTAAAAAAATATTCCAATTTTAATTACAGTCTTAATTAGGTTTCAGTATATCAAATTGCTCAGAGGTGTTGGAGTAATTGTACAAACTTTATTGAATCTTATCCTGACTCTCAATTCCCTGCTTTGGTGTTGATAACCTCATTTTATCATTTCCACGTTAATGGAAATTGTTCAATTCCATTTAGAGGCAGGGTTTCCTCATGAGGGAAGAGAAATGCTGAACACATGGTACGAGGATCCAGGAGTTCTTAGGTACTGGTACTAATGGGAAAACTAACACGTCAAGTGGTCCTTGTTACCAGTCCCTAACGGCTATCTTGATGTTGCTGCTGCTTGCTGGCTAGAAAGGGAGTGTTAAGATTCATTTCCCACCGTTATTTAAATATTAAACTATCCTGAGAATAAAACCCACAATGTTTAACATTATAAACCGAACCCTCTGGGATCTTCGGCCATCAGGTCCTCTAAGACCGACAATATGAAATTATCATTTTATATCATTAGTAGTATTATGTAAAATATTGACCATCCTGATATATTCACTCAGACTTTATATATATATATATATATATATATATATATATATATATATATATATATATATATATATATATATATATATATATATTTGTATATCATATAGGAGGAGGTTCTGAGAATGGCAGCTGGCTATAAATACCATACCATTTATATTTAGGTTCTAATCATAATATATCTTCGTTTTGTAAATAGTTGTGTAGCAGTGTCTTGAAGTGGCTTTGTGTTATCTTTCTTTCAACTTGGTTTGTTCAGTAATAATTTACATTCATCTTAGAAGTAAAATATTTATATTAAAATGCTGTAAATTTGCATTTAGACATTTCACAAACTATGGGACAAACATATATATAAATGGTTGTTTCAAAATGTTAGTATTTTTGTTGCTTGTTTTTGATATTTTCCATCTACTGTCAGTAACAAGAGAAATAATATAAGTAGTTTGATTTAGCCATAATTTCGCTGTTAGGAAAGTTAGGATAATTGTTTCCCATAGTTTGTGAACTGTCTAAATACACCTTAATAATATAGTAACAAAACTCTTTAAAAAAAGTTGACTCAGACTAGTGTATCAGGCATCATATGCTTCTTTGCAAGTTTATTCTGAACAACCAATAATGCCCATCTAATTTCTTTTAATAATACTGTAGGCGTTAGCCTGTGTTCAGGACTATGGTTGCCAAATCGTTTCTTGGAGTCTCTAAATTCTTATCAATGCTTATTTTTAAAAGAAAAGATATTGATAGAGGTTATTTGATTTAATGGTACTTGTCAGTTATTTGATCGCCATGAACTTTTTCTGCCATTGTTTATAATCTGAGCACTGAAATTCCTACCTTCTTATTTATATTTATGTACATTGAAATAGACAAAAAGGAATGTAATAATAACAAAACACTTTTATTTTACAACAGTTTATCTATTTTGGAAGACAAAATAGGGATGTACGGATCATTTTCTTTTAGTTAAAAGACTTTTGTACATTTCAACCACTTTTCCAGGCCTTTTAATTGATCTGTACAACATGTTATGAGCACAAACTTCTTTGAAAAATCTGTTCCTCTCTACCACACTTCTGTTCGGTAGTTTCAGCTGCTCTTTGTCCAACTCAATTGTTGTTAAATTATGAGACTTGCCATATATAAACTTTAAAACCATTAAAAAGGTAATTCTTGACCCCTCTAACCACTTTAGTTTTCCTGTCAAACTCCGTTTGATGACTTTCTTCACACAATTTCATCTTTGGAATTATTTTAAATTTCTGGAAGTATTTCACAGCTTCTTCCGATGTTATTATATCCATTATAAATAGAAAATGACAAAATTAACAAAAAACAAAACAAAACTGAAAACAATTGAATAACGAGAAGGAAGCACAAGTAACTAAGGAGAGACAAGTGATAAGAAGATGTTAAACGAGATAAGAAGGTAGTCACAAGTATCAATTTAATTTACCTTAGAGGTTTTAGAAAAGGATAGGTTATAGGCAAGTAAATATATTAGATCCAGTACTAGAAGGTTCAATGACCTCACAGAGATAATTTATTTTCCTTTTCAACTTTCCTTATCTTTTTTTATTGAAGCACCAGAAAAGAAGTATTTTTTAGTACTTTTCATTAAAAAAAACTGTCTACTACTAAAATATAAATAAAAATTGAGTAGGTACATGATATGTTACCTAAGATTTAAGTTGATTCAACTGCTGTTTATTCTTTCCCTAACAGTAGTTATATATTACCTACCAATTTATTTTTAAGACAATTTTCTCTAGTTTATTTCATTTAAAAAATTTTTTTATTTATATTTTTAATTTTTTCAGGTTTTATTTCAACAATTTAGATTTTTTCTAAATCTTTATTTCTTAGTTTTGGCATGTAGTCAGTTTCTTCCTGATTTACGGCTTGGTTATCTCTATACGTACTGGGGTCCACTTGTAAGTATTTTCTTAAATTATAAACAAATAATTGAATATATTTTAATAATTCTTAATAGTATAAAAGCTATCAATGACCTATGTTCTCTTTCCCTGGCACGGCTTCTCATTGCTCCCAAGTCTTCCCTTTTTGTCTCCCTATTTGTTCTATGTGGCTAATATAGGAGATTCTTGGCCACCTTCTTGATTTTTTATTGTTGGTTTCATCTCCATAATTTTAATGAGGTTTCTATGATTGTCCATGCACCGGACATGTTATACCATCACAATTGCCTCTTCTTAAGAGTTTGTGTCACTGGGTGTACATTCAACACTTCCCCAATCCTATCATTCCGAACGCAGTCTCTCCTTATTTGACACACAATTTTCTCAAACAACTCAGTGGCAGTTAATTGGCTTAGTAGCCTCTCATTCAGAATCCGTCTCTCTTTCTCTTAGAGAAGTAAAGTTTGTATGACAGAATTGAATAAGCTAAGAGCTTTCTTTACATTCTGTCCCATATCTATTTTTTCAATAACAAAATTACAGATCTGTACATAGTTAACGGAAATTCTGATTGAGGTGTGTGGTACACCCCAAACTTTAAATCATAAAATTTAATTGTCATGCTCTGGAAAACTCAAGTACTTTTCAGAAATGAGCTTAATAATTAGGGGGGGGGGAAACCATGGTAACTTTAGAGAATATATTTTATATGTTCGCACAAAGTAAACATTTAACATCTACATCAATAAAAAATCAAAAAAGGATCAATATTTTTCCATTCAAAATGCACTAAGTTTATATCAATTAAATATATATGTATTTGAAATGTAAAATAGATACTGAAGAGAAGAATAGTTGGGGTGCTCAGTCAAAAAGGAAGGCAAAAAATAAATTATAATATTTATTTTTTACCAGCACTATTAAATTATAATTAATTATAATTTATTTTTTGCCTTCCTTTTTGACTGAGCACCCCAACTATTCTTCTCTTCATTATCCACGACAGTCAACCAATTACCAATTTTGTAAAATATATACATAATAAAGGAATTTGAATTTAAAGATAATAAAACTTATAATGAAGGCCATTTAAGTGACTACTCACTCACAACAATCCAAGCGAACTGTTGGTCTGTGTTCATTGCAGATAGGTCTCTTACATTGCTGACAAACCATTTTATCTTCCTATCATTCCCTCTCGTATAAGACAAATATTTGGCTTGTTTTTAACATTAGTTGTTTAGTTTTTAATGTCCAAAATTTCATTTATGTTGAAACTTCCCGTTTGTGTGAGTGTCTCCACTTGAAGTCTTCCTTTCAAACAGGGCTCAAGTAACGAGTAGCCTATTCCAAATAAACTATTTCTCCATTTCTTTTTCTTTTTCCTGTTAACTAAGCTGAACATTATCATGCTGCATATACCAGTATGGTTCAACATTCCAAAGAAAAACGGAGAGATAGCCTTGTTTTTTTTCTTGCTGTTGTGTATACATGACACATTTGATCAAAAGTGACTGTTCCATATTTATTTAATATGCTCCTTGTATTTTTTCTTCATCTCCTAACTGGGGTGTGGAATACTCCACATTGACATACGTCAACTTCCAATAATGATCTAAGTCCAATAATGGAGCGCTAAGAACCGCAATTAGCCTAGCTATGTATGATGTTTATTTGCATGAAAAACCTTTGCCAAAGAGCTACTTATATAATAATAAATTAATATTTAAAATTTTATGGGGTGTACGCATTTCCCAGTGTGTCATTTGAGGCTTAAGATTGATTGTTAATATTCTTAGTTCATTTAATTCATTCTAGCTCATCAATCTAGTATTGGATAACTCTGATTGCTGTAAAATTCTTTTCATGTTGGTTATAAGATAATTGAAGTTGGTTAGTTACTAACCTCTCACAGTCCCTCACAATCATTATTTAACTTTTATAGTTTAAAGTGTAATTTGGTTCCATTCAGATAATATTTGCTTTGATAACATTTTAGGGTTTTGTCTTGACTGTAACCATCATTCGAGAAGCGATTGATGACTTACGACGTCACCAAAGAGATAAAGAAGTCAATTCCCAAAGGTATTCAAGGCTGAGCCGTGGGAAAGATGGTATCGTGTTTGTTGAAAGTATACCCTCTTCAAAACTCCGTGTTGGTGATTTGGTAAGTCCATTTTAAATCTCCTATTACCTTTTCTTAGTTATCTTGTCAATAATTTATTAAATTATTTTTAAATGCTTTAATTTTTTATCAAATGTAATTTTCTTAAAGTTACATTTATTTTTTTTTTTAAATTATAATTTTCAAATCCACATACAACCATCATAATTTGTTACTGCGAATCCAGTATTCATATTTTGGGTGGATATGATGAGAAGTGATTGGCTGATCATTGTTTTTAGGTAGACATGGTAGGCGAAATTGACATTGGTTTAAAGCTTATTAATTTCATAAATTTTTCCTGAAGATTTATCTCTCCTGGAGATCTGTGCTCTGTAAATCCAGTAAGAAATAATCAATGATTCATATTATTGATAGTTCAATACATTTTTAACTGTTATATTTCCAATCAAACAGTTTCTGATGCTTATAACTGGTTTTGCTCTCTCCAATGGAATTAGCAAATTTTATGTTTTAAGATTAATTTTGAAAGAGATAAAAGTTTTATAATTTTATTTCCCTCAAAACTACGAAATATCAGATGCTAGTGGTTCTGTTTTATCACGATTGCAATATAGTTTCGGCCTCTAGTTTTCTGGTTCTTACATAGTACACCTTTTAGATATTTATATTCTTATGAATTAATTTTTATTAGAATGCTTGGGCATTTTAATTTTGGTAGCTTAACATAAGAAAAATTGTTTATTTGAGCTGTTCTGCAGCATAACATAACACAGTCTTGTTGTATCAATTTGGTTTACATGGTTAAGTTAAGACCAAAATTTTATTCATGAAACTGGTCAAACTTAAGAAAAGATAAGATTTTGTAATTCCCTAACATGTGTTTATATATAAAGTGTAATATATATATATATATATTACTAATATATAAATATTTATTATTCAATATGTAGGTGTTTCATATATATATATATATATATATATATATATATATATATATATATATATATATATATATATATATATATATATATGAAACACCTACATATTGAATAATAAATATTTATACATATATACTGTAATGTGCCCCTTTATTGGAAGTGAGTTAAAAGAAGTGAGCTTTCGAGAATACATTATTATTATTTGTAAAATATAAGAGAGATGTTACAATACATACAGGGAAGTGGAGTAGCTCAGTATTAAGGTGCTTACTTCCAATGCTCACGATCCCATGTTCGAATCAGGCTGATCGCAGATATATTATTTATTCTGTTTCATCGACCATGGATTGACCCTGGGGTCAGGAGATCCTCCTGGGACACACCCACCCTCCATAAAGTAGTTATCCTTAATTAAATAATTAATTAAGGGAGAAATCATGGAGGTTAAGCTTAATCTCGATCAAATCACCTCCCTGTACAACCATTGGCTTTGAAACAGTACTTCCTTACAAAGTACTGAACCCAAAACCCTTCATGTGCTTTAGTGCTACAGAGTTATATATATATACACATATTTTAATATCTAATTTGATTTCAGGTTTTTATTGAGAAAGATCAAAGGGTACCTGCAGATTTGGTCCTTCTAAGAACTACAGAAAAATCAGGAACCTGTTTTATAAGAACAGATCAACTTGATGGAGAAACTGATTGGAAATTACGATTGGCGATACCTCATACTCAAAAACTTGATTCTGAAAACAAATTGTTTGAAATCCATGGTGAAATATTTGCAGAAAAGCCTCAAAGAGATATTCATTCCTTTATTGGCACATTTACTAAGGTATCTATATTTAATTATCTAGTAGTATTGTACAAAATATCCATGTGAAATAAGAGTTACTGGTGAGAACTACTCGTGAAAAATACTCTAGTGAGAACTCTCGCATTAGATAGTGACAGTTTGCTGTCACCTTGGGAAAAAGTTATTGTCTGCCCAATGAGCAAAGTTCCTGTTCCCTCCAAAGTTTCCGATTTCAGACCCATATCCATTCTCTCCAAACTTTCAATGCCTCTTGAAAGAATAGCCCGCTCACAGCTTAATGCCTTCCTGTCTAGTTTCCGATCCCAGTTATCCACCCAATCCGCTTTCCAGAAAATTTTCCGGAAACCTTCATTTCTCTGTAGACAAACAGAAACTCTTGATCCTAGTCCTAAATTTTTGAAAGGCTTTCGATTCCGTAAATCACAAAGTCCTCCTTACCAAATTCTAAAACCTTTCCATATCAACTAGTGCTCTAGTGGTTCTATTTTTTTTTTTTTTTGTATCCTAGATCCCTAACAGTCATCATTTCCCAATAAAACTCCTTCCTCCCCAACTCTTCTCCATCTATATTACTGGCCTTCCTGATTTCATCCATCGCTCACAACACCATTTATATGTGGACGATCTCCAAATCTACCTTTCCTTCCATCCTACTGGGATGCTTAAGGCGATCCGTAGGCCACAAGAAGATATCGACAGTATTAATACCTTGGCAGAGAACAATGATTTAAAATTGAATGTTGAGAAGACCAAAGCCATTCTCATTGGATCCAAGCGTCTGATTAACCTCATTTTTTATTATCCTCTGTTCTACCTCAATGGGATACCCATAGGTTTCCACACTTCCGTAAGAAACCTTGGGGTAATGTTCTTCATTACCAATCAACATCTGTCCTGGAGTAATCACATTTCCCAAATTATCTGAAAGTCCATTGCTCCCCTCAAACAGTTCCTGAGATTCCATGACTCCATGCCCTTTAAAATCTGTCAGCTCCTGGTTTCCTCCCTCATTTTTCCTCTCATCGGTTATGGCTGCCTTGTATACGGTGGACTGTCTGGTGGGCTTGAGATCAGATTAAAGAAGCAAATGAATTGTTTCATTAGATTTATACTTGGATTCTCCAGGCGCTCCCACATTTTCAGTTGCTATGCCGAGTTGAAGTGGCTGTATCCTCTTTGCCGATGGCAATATTTCCAAGGTGTATTTCTTTTCTGAATCTTTGCAACCAAAAAACCTTCTTACCTTCTTTATTTCTTTACTCCTTGTTCCTCTGTTCATTTGTTCAACACGAGATCCCAATCCTCAAATTTGTTTATTCCTTCTCATAGTTTCCTTTAAAAAATCCTTCGGCGTACGTGCTATCTCGTTTTGGAATTCCCTATCAACCTCTATACGAAAATCCTCATCCTTGATCTCATTTAAACACAATTTATTTTTCCATCTCCTCAGTAATCAATCTTCCGAATATATGTAAAATAAAGTTATTTTGTACTTTAGAGATGTCAGCTACACTATATTGATATCTTGCAGATATCTATGTATGTGTCATATTGTTTATTCTTACAAATACGTGAACTCACCCGTATGTATTCATCTTAAATTCATGTCTACTTCAAGATCACATGTTTACTACAGTGTCTTCATTTTTAATATTATGAAAAATCTACATGTTGCTTTATTTTAATATTAAGGTTAGACAACTTTGTAAATTAATTTATTTTAAATTGTCATTTGATTATTCATAATCACCAGACAATTGTCATTTCTTTGTTCATTATAGTTATTCTGATTGAATATCTTTGATTCACATTGAAATCTTTAAAACAAAACCTATCCCATCTCGATCTGTCGACTTTTAAAACCGTCTGAGTTAATACCTTCCAATTTTTCAATAGCTTTTAGTAAACTTTATATAGAAATCGAAGGATCAAAATTGGGATTCATCTTTTCTTTGTGAAATCCCCTTTCATTTTATACATTATCGAAATCTAATGCTCTCGAGAGCCGGAAAAGAGATCTATGCCGCTATATTATTATATTATAAAATTAATTGTTTTCAATGCATTGGGATATAAACCCATATATTTTTCTTGATGTGTTCCAAATTTTTCTCAATCTCATAATTTAGAAAAAAATTTACTCCTGTAATGTATGTTTAGAAGCTATTGTTATCACTCTGTTTTAACCAATTCTGTTATTCTATGAACATTATTCTAACAACTTTCTTCCCTTAAGATACAATCATTAATATGATACTGTGTTCATTTAATTTTTCATCAGCTATATATATATTTTTTTTTTAAGAATGATGAAATTGAAGGGCTCGCTATCGACAATACACTGTGGGCTAATACTGTTCTGGCTTCCGGTTCTGCTCTTGGAGCTGTCGTTTACACCGGACGGGAAACGAGGAGCGTAATGAACAACTCTCAGCCAAGGTCAAAAACTGGACTTCTGGATGTCGAAATCAACCAACTCACAAAGGTATTTACATTTTTTTATTAATATATTGTTGTGATTTTATCTATGTTGACTGAAAATTATAATTTCAATCCGTTGTTTTTAATTAACAATAATAATCTACTGAGTTTAAAAAATTATAAATTTTTATTTACAAAAATGTTGTCTTTGCAACAACTTGTGGGTCATTTTAGCCCTTACATAATATTTGAAGTTATAAATAATTAAAAGAATTTGAAATTAATAATAAATTTAATTATAAATCAGCAAAGAACTCATTATGAGACAGAAATTCAATGTTAGGTTATAACTGGAAAAATTCCAACCTCACAGCCTTATGACTCTAAAATGCAGGTAAAGAATAAAAACCCATCAAAGTCAAAGGACAGAGATTCTATGAGTATGAGAGTCATAGACTCTCATATTCTCTATCCAATTGTATAATCTTTATGAGTAAGAGAGTTGGATGTCATGAAGTGATGTGATCTGCAAGAACCCTCTGGCATGAATCTAATATTTTTCGATCAAGTATCACTAAAAAAAGTTTCATTTAAATCGGTGACCCCACGTCTGTAACTTCCTCTTGTTAGTGCTGGATTGCTAGTATTCAAACCTTTAAACTTACTGGTAGTTAATGATTAAAAGTAATGTAAGTAATTCACATGAAATTAATTATCGTGAATGTTAACCTCATCAGTTTTGCATTTTATTGTAGTACTGAATGTACACTTCTCATGTGCTCATGGCAGAAAATTTATTTATCTGTTTCATTGGCCGTGGGGCGACCCTGGGTCGGGAGACCCTCCTGGGGCACACCCAGCCTCTGTAAAGTGGGTACCCTTAATTAAATAATTAATTAAGGGGGAAAACCTGGCGGTTGAGCGTGATCTTGGTCAAATCACCTCTTTGCACAACCGTTGACCTAGAAACAGTGCTTTCCCTAAATACTACTGAACCCCAGACCCTTTATGGGTTATAGTGGTACAGGTTAACCTCATCATAATAAAGATATATATTTTTTTTTTTGCCGCATTATGTAATTTAAACATCACAATAATATTATTTTGTGCTAAAAGTACTACCCTTTTTATAGATTATTACATTATAGTATGGTAATCCAAAGTTATGTGGAGCAGAATAGCTCAGTGAGTTGGGCACTGGGTTGCTAAGCTCCCGGGTTTGAGTTTGGCTGATTTCAAGTAATTTTTCATCAGCCTTGGATCGACCCTGGGGTACACCCAGCCTGTATTAAGTAGGTACTCTTGGTTAAATAATTGATTAAAGAGGAAAACCTGACTGTTAAGCATGATCCTAGCCCGATCATCTCTATGCACAACCTTTGGCCTTGAATCGGTACTTTCTAATAAAGTACTGAATCCAAAACCCTTCATGGGTTGAAGTCTTATTGATTTCTATATTTTATTTTTTTTAATCCAAAGTTAATATTTTTTTCAGGTTTTGTTTTGTGCCGTAGTAGGCTTAGCTCTTGTGATGATGTGTCTAAAAGGTTTCCGTGGACCATGGTATAAATATTTATTGAGATTTGTGCTTTTATTTTCGTACATTATTCCTCTCAGGTAAGTTAACATTTTCTTATCTTTTTTATTATTTGTAAATAAATCTCAACAAAATATTAAATTTATTAATGAACTGTATATATATATTTTTTTTTTTTACATGCTTAAGATTTGTTCAGCTAACATATTAATGTTGCAGCTTAAGAGTGAATTTGGATATGGGTAAAGCATTCTATTCCTGGCAAATGCAGAAGGACAAAGAAATGCCCGATACAGTCGTACGATGCACCACAATACCTGAGGAGCTTGGTCGAATTGCTTATTTATTATCGGATAAAACAGGAACGCTTACGCAAAATTGTATGGTTTTTAAGAAGCTTCATTTGGGATCTGTTGTTTATTCACAGGATACTTTCGATCATGTAAGATTTCATCAGTTTCCATCATATTTTATTAATATTTAAAAAAATAAATATATATAAGCATATATTTATAAGCTATAATGTCATTCGCCAGATCAGAGAGGAACTACTCGAGAGTTTCAATAGTCCAGCCGAAACTCCGACGGGGAAGCCGAGTATTGCCAAAGTTCGAAAATCTGATAGGACGCGGCTTAAGGTAAATTTTCGCAATAAGTAATTAAAATAAAATAACTACAATATCTTATGGTGATTTTTCTATAAATTATTTTTATGTTATGACTTTAGGAGGCTGTAAAAGCCATCGCATTGTGTCATAATGTTACACCAGTTTACGAGTCTGATTTTGACGAGCCTGGTAGTCCTTTGGAATCTCAATCGGAAGTTGATCAGCACTATTGGGGAAGAGAAAATGGGATACAGTACCAAGCTTCAAGCCCAGATGAGGTATTTTCTTTAGAAATTTTTAAAATAATTAAATATATTTGTTATTGTAAGGGTTAACATAAAATTTTAATTAAACATTCCTGTTGCATTGACATGATGAATAAAAGACCAAGTGCATGTGAATAATTTGAGCCAAAGAATCAATTACTTAAAATAAAATACTGGCTTTGTAGAAAGAATGGCTGACTACAAATCATAGATAAAAATGGGATATTTAAAACTATTTAAAGAAAACAAGCGGCAGTTCAATATAAACAATATTTTTAATTTTACCACCCTGTGGTATAAGTGTACACTGAGTTTCTTCTCTTGCTCATCTCTCGATATGGCAGAGATAAAAAAACAGAACATCTCCAAAGCTTTTTTATTTATTAATCCGACAAAGGTAGTGTTTGTCAAAACAATGATGTTTCTGCATGATGCAATTAGTTTCTCAGTATTTTCCTTCTTCTGTCACTCTCGTCAGTGCCATCTCAAGGGTAGAAAGTTGTCACAACAGGTAAGACTGATATTTTTTATTATTTAGTTGAGACAACATCTCCTAAATGTCAAAGCGATACGTTTTCGTATATCTTCTTCTTTGATATAAGGGCAAACTCTCGTGTTTAAAATAATTCACTTTATTTGTCTTACAGGTTCAGTAAATTTTTCACTTACTATATCGTTATCAATGCCGAATAAAAAAAATCTTAAGAATCAATGATGAACCTGTATCTTCCCTTTGCCTTGCTTTTGCCAAACCAGAATGGCACTATTGATGGTAAAAATGATTTTGAGTGGACCACTGAAACAGGAAAAGTTTCCAGCATCAAGATTGTTTACTGTTCTACTCAAAAATATAGGGACATGTTTAAACCAATTGATAAATTCAAATAGTTTTTCTCTGGGGTTCATTTTATTGCTTATGTTTGTATTATTTTAATATTGTTTAAAATAAATTATTCGTTCATTAATGTTAAACAATATTTTGCTCTCACATCTCCATATAAAAAATTCTTTTCTTACTTCTATTAATTATGTTGTTATGGTTATTTTTGTCATTATTTCAATTGGTTTAACTAAATATATCATAAAATGGTTAAGGGTTAACATTTCTGTAACAATTATAGATCAGAAGAACGAAAAAAAGAACCTATGAACCCTAAGAAGGGACTGCTTCGTCAATTTGACGAAGCGATACCTTTAACATAGGTTACATAGCTCAATTAATACAAATGACAATATCTTTGTCGGGTTAAATGATATGTATTAATGCTACTACTTTTTAAATATATAAGATGTTAATAAAATTAATTAAACTCACAATGCTCTACCTTGTTATGTATAATTTTATTTTTAGATTGCTCTTGTCCGTTGGACTGAAGAGGTCGGACTTGGCCTCACTAAGAGAGATAACAATTCTATGCAGTTGAGGACGCCAATCACAACCTTCATCGATTATGCTATCCTTCAGATATTTCCATTTACTTCCGAATCTAAGAGGATGGGAATTATTGTCAAGGTATGAAGCGAGTTCAATTTGATTCATAGTTTATCGATACTAAATAAGTAGGTACATTGATAGTAAGCGGCAACGCTGATTGATTAGGTGGCTATTCAAAAAAGAAAGCTCAGTTGCTATGACCTTTATTAGAAGACAAAACCGTAAACTTACATAAAAAAAAAAAAATTAAATAAAACTGCTAAAGAATCATTACAGTGCATTTTTTTTTTTTTTTTCTGTCCTCCCCTTCCTCGCCTTTCAGGCTATACGGGGGTTTTCCTGGGCCAGCGAGTGTGGGCAAGGATTTAAAAACTCCTCCGGGCACCGGGACGCGAACTCGTGACTATTTTTTTAATCAAATCTCATGTATCAGGTTGCCGGGCAACGACGGTGCAGTACACACGCGTTAGCCCATTCGGCCACCCCGCCCACTTTCATTACAGTGCAGTAATGAGACTAATAACTCGACTATTCCTTCTCCTGATGAAAGTAAAACAATAACTATTGGAAATTGCTGGTTGCCAATGTTGCCCATACAATATAATCAAACAGGTTGCATGAAATTCCCTCTTGTAGGTTCTCAAACAGAAAATATTAATAGATGCGTATTAATGAAACATTTTTTAGTAACTAACTTTCACATCAGTTTTTCATATTACCAGTTATATTAAAAATTTATATGAATTCATTCCTGAATAGGGCATACTATGGTCTTTTAGTTTTATAAGCTTTTTCCATGGAAGTAACATATTCCAAGATCTCAGATTAGAGTTCATAAGCAAAATTGATTTCTTTACAGGTTGTGGTAATACTAATCAAGGACTTTCAGCATAAAAAAAAAAAAATTTATTGAAACAATAAATATTGTTCTTCAATGGATGTTGTAGATAGTGATGGGAGGAATGAAATTATATATTTTCATAGAACAGGTCCAATTAGAATAATTGTTTGTTGTTTAATGGCGTAAAACACCAGTCATCAATGCCTGCGGTTTATATTAGAATAATTACTCAGATTATACTACGATTGAGCTTTTTTCGAGAATAACCCTCATACCTTTCAATCAATAACCTTTAATTATTAAAACAATTAACTTATGAATTTTTATCATACGATTAAATGAAAGTAAAACTACAGAGAATATTTTTAAACAATCATGATGGTATGGTATATTTAATGAGATGAGATAGCTGTGGGAAGTTATGTAAAGAGAGTGGGCTTTCCAACCGGTCTAAGCTCTTCCCACTAAGTTCTCCCTTGAGTTGTTTGCCTGTACTTAATTATAAATTTCTAGATAAAGGCATTTTAAATGTTTATAACAAGCATTTATGTGTGTTAATTAAATATCTAAAATTTAATATTTTTTGTTTCTTTCGAGATAAATTTTTAGTTAAATTATTAATTGTTTTATGCACTCCATATATCGATGGCCACTCTGCAAAAGTCCGTGCGTACAATTTGATTAGAATGTGTGGTTTTGAGCTTTCCCGGTTAATCTTGGACATGAATATATTCATACAAACAAACGGAAAATGTTATTTAGAACATTACATCTTTTTCTTAACCATGCGATATAAATTGAATGAAAAATCGACTTCATGAAATAAGAAATACACAGTTTATTTTGTCTTATAAATAATTTTATGTTTTGCAGTATGGCTGTCAATATTCTATTTTATTCATTTTGATTGTTACAAAAATTCTCATACAGTTAATTATAATAACTGATATAAAATTCTTTATATTTTTCTTGATTTATTTATAGTCTCCAGACAAAAAAACAAAATATTAGTTGTTTTTTTCTATATTCTCTAGGAAATGTCAACTGGTGAAATAACATTTTACCTCAAAGGGGCTGATGTCGTGATGTCAAACATAGTGATGTTTGCTGATTGGCTGGAAGAAGCAGTCGGCAATATGGCTCGAGAAGGCCAGAGAACCCTCGTGGTCGCTAAAAAGAGTCTTTCAGAGGAGGTGTACCAAGATTTTGAGGTTATTATTTAATTCTATGAGTTTTAGTGAACTAGCAGTGATAATTATAGTTTTGTATGTATCCATTAGAAATAGTAAGGAAGCTATGTTGATTCTACTTATCACTTTTTGTTTTTCAAACAAAATTATGATATACCTAAGGTAGTATTAAATCAATAGAAAATTGATTATTTTATTTCATTTTGACAACAAATACCATATATATTAAATAAAAAGACATCTTCCTGTATATAATTCTTTATTCTTTTTTGTTGTTGGTTTTGGTCCTTCATCAGATTGTTCCTTAACTGACAACAGGAGAGGAGAATTGCCATAAATAAGCCTGATCAAGAACTCAAACTATTAGAAATAAAGGAAGGCAACATCTTTTTATTGAATTTGATCAATATCAGACCTCAATTCCAGAAATCCTACATTATTGGACAAAATTAAAGGATCACTTCAATATTTTTATTTTAACTGACATTTTTAAAGGGATTCTTTTGAGTATGATAGAGATCAGTATGAAGTGTTTCCTCCTCCTGCCCTGATCACTGCCAATGTTCTTCTGTTCTTTCCACCCACCAAGATCCTTTCATCTTCTGGGATGTTGTTCCATACTTACTCACTGTGTCGCTCTACAGCCCGGGGTGGGCCTTGGCTTTCTGGATTATAGCATGCCAATCATCTCTATCGCTCGCCCTTTCGTTCCAGTTTCTCACACCCAGTGTTTTAAGGTCTCTCTCAACATCTTGCAGCCATCTTTTCCTTTTATTCTCATGTTATACATTGCAGAGAACAATTTCCTATAAGGTATCCTGCTGTTGCCCTTCCTAACCATGTGGCCTAACCATTTCATGCGTCTAGTTTTAACGAAATGAATTATGCTGTTATATTGTTCATATAGCTCCAAATTTTTTCGATACCTCCACACACCCTCTTCACAAACAGCCTCATAAATTCTTATTATTATTTTTCTTTCAAAAATATTCAGCATTGTGCTTGTACAAAAGGTCCATGTCTCCACTGCATAAGTCACAATAGATCTTACTAAAGTCTTATATAATCTTATCTTTGTTTCTAAAAAAAAAAAAAAATTATGTTGCCATAGTACTCCCGGTTTCCAGCCATGATCCTCTTGTACACCTTGGCAGCAATTTTATTTTCAGAATTCACTTCCACTCCCAGGTACATGAATTTTTTGACAGACTCGAAGATGAGATCACTAATTTCAGTGCACAGCCTCATTGTCGTTCCCGATATACATGTATTTTGGTCAATTTCCAGCCCAACATTTTCACTTTCGACTTTCAATATTGCAAATATTTCCTTTATTAACCTCAAATTCCTGGTAATTAGGCATATATCGTCTGTGTAAGCACATATTTGCACCATTGTGTTAAGTATGCAACCAGAAGAATCCAGTTTTTCAAAACATTATTAAGTGCAATATTAAATAATGTGACAGACAAAGCATCCCCTTGCCTAACTCCATCCGTCATTGGAAAGTTATTGCTTACATTGCCTTTAATAATTAATTTTGCATTGCTATTATTCAGTCATTTGCAATTACATTATTAATATTTTTTTTAATTGGTAAATGGTTGACTGTCGTGGATAATGAAGAGAAGAATAGTTGGGGTGGTCAGTCAAAAAAGAAGGCAAAAATAAATGATAATATTTATTTTTACATATGCCGACGTTTCGACCTGAAGTTCAGGCCATCATCAGGGCCAGGAAAAAGGTATTTCTCATACCTTGTTATCTGTTTCTTTTCTTAGCCCTGATGATGGCCTGAACTTCAGGTCGAAACGTCGGCATATGTAAAAATAAATATTATCATTTATTTTTGCCTTCTTTTTTGACTGACCACCCCAACTATTCTTCTCTTCATTATTAATATTTTTGGGATTTGGGACTCATGTCAGGCATTTATTAATTTGCTTCTTATCACTCTATCGAAAGTTTGCCAGTTATCTATGAACAACATATGCAGGTCAATCTTATATTCTCAGGCTTTTTGCATTATCTGTCTCATCGCAAAAACCTGATCAGTTGTTCATCTCCCCTTTCTAAATCCTCACTGGTTTTCCTCCATTATATTCTCAGAAAATGCGTTGAGCCTCTCAGAGAGAATGCTTGACAATATAGAGAAATTCCTCTGTAATTCTCGCATTGGAGTTAATCTCCTTTTTTATATAGCGAGCATATCAGACTGGTGCACCACTCCTGAAGCATGATTTTACTACTCCAAACATCCTCCAACAGTAAATGTATTTGGCTTATCAATTCTTCTTCTCCGTATTTAAAGAACTCCGCCACCAGCATATCCTCCCTAGGTGTTTTGTTGTTTTTTTAATTTTTCAATCGCCTCAGTCACCTCTTCTATTGACAATGGCTCCAGATCATCAACACACCCTTCTTCATCACTGCCAACCATACATTTATTACCATTAGAGTTAAAAAATTCTGTGACGTGCTCTTCCCATCTACCTAGAACTCGAGAGCTGTCTACTACACACCATTTTTATCTTTGCATCCGGTAATTTTTGACTGAAAACCCTGACTGGTACATTTCACTGCTCCATAAAATTTCAGGGATGTTGTTCCACTCTACCAAAAAATGTTACCTTAAAAATGGTTTTAAACGTGTTAAAATGCGTGTATGTATTAAAACTAATGTAGAACTGTGAGCAAGAGTCCTCAAAATGTGCTTAAGTTATCTTTTTAATCTAAAGGAGTAATTAATGTTTACAGTTTAAGGATACAATTTATAAAGGATTACATTGATTCCATTCTGGTACCTGAGAAATATTTTTTTGCTATTATTATCAAAAAATTATACCAACATTTGTAGATGACCCTTTAATTTTGTCTGTCAATGTATATATTAAAAAATAATGATGATGATGGTGAAAACCTTTTATATAACTTTAAAAAAAAAAAAAATTTATACTTATGAAACTCGTTCTACTTAATGAATAACATGTCTGTTTTAGTATAAATACTCCATTGCGAAGCAGTCAACTACTGACAGACAGTCAGCGATGGCATCCGTATTGGCTAGTCTTGAAAGAGACTTGGAATTGGTCTGTGTGACAGGAGTGGAAGACAGGCTTCAAGAAAATGTCAGCGTGACGCTCGAAACTTTGCATAATGCAGGTGTAAAGGTATGTGAATTATATCGTGGATTCCATTGCAAAAAGCCATTGGGCAACAATTTAATGAATTTGAGATAATCAAATTTGAAGTTTCTGATTCATTAAAAAAAAAAATGCTGAAATAACAGTTTGATTATTTGTTTTTTGTTATTTGCTATTCTAAATATGTATTCTATTTCTGACAATTTATTAAAAAACTTAATATATACATAAAAATGGAAAAAACTGAAACCACGACGCACATATTGATTTTTCCACACTATCATAGTTAAATAAAACACTTACTTACTTTTATAACCTTACAAATAATCTTTTATAACCTCATTTGATTAGTTTTATTAACGATCTGATCAATTAATGCAGTGAAAGAAGTCATTAAGTACCAGGTAGTGAATTCTACTTTAACTTTATTTAGAGAAAAAAAAAATGATTAAGTAATTTGATGATCTTTTTCTCTGTAAAGTCAGAACTTCATTATTCTATTGACAAATATGATCGAAATTAACAACTACAGACTTTCAGGTTCAAACCGACCAAAAGTGTACTTAGTGACTTTTTGCAATTAACTGATGATGTAGTGATTATCTTGATAACTTTTTTTTTGTGATTATGAAATTTCTTTTTCATTAAACTTATTTCAAGCTCTAATAATTATTGACTATGTGGTAGATTATATGTGAATATATATTTGCTATACATTAATATATAGAAGAATTTTGTTGAGGCACATCTCATTAATAAAAGTTTCAAAAAAATTCAATTCAAATGAACATTGATGATAATTAATATTAATGATATCTACCGGAAATATCCCATTTTGTTGAATCTAAGGCATTCCAATTATGAAAAGAACTCTTAAGAGGAAAACAATAAACTTTATAATTGTTCTTTTCTTATACCTATGAAAGCTGAACTATCTATTTTTTATAATTATTCCTTAAGAACAATTGATTCTAAATTGAAGAATTTTTTTTTTTTTTCAGATATGGATGTTGACAGGAGACAAATTGGAAACAGCTATGTGTATCGCCAAGTCTAGTAAATTGGTATCTAGGGAACAAGATTTGTTTGTTTTTGATAAAATCGAGTCTAGAGCAGATGCCCACGCACAGCTCAATTCGGCGTGGAAGAAACAAGACTGTGCACTGTTTCTTACGGGTGCTTCATTAGAGGTAATTTTAAAAATATTACTAATAACTTTGGGCAAAATGTACTTTTTTTTTTTTTAACTTATCGGTAGTTTAATTTAAAAATGTCAAAATCTTAACATAAAACAGTGTAACTATTTAAATTTTTATTAAATTGTTTTTTTTTTATAGGAAGTAAGGTAAATATACCAGTAATAGAAAGTTTTCAATTCATTAACAGATAATAAGTTTTTTATACCAAAAATAGTGTGCAAATATGAGAGTGGTGCTGATTTTTTTTATAAAATAAAGCTGGATTTTGTTTCAAGAAGGTTTCCTTATTACTTTTCTTTAGAAGATAATTTTGAAATTTGTATTTATTCATCTTTTATTTATTTTATTCTCTTCTTTCCTTGTCTTTCGGCACTATATAGTTTTGATAGCAGTAGAGTGATACTTCTATTACTTATCTTCCGATTATTTGGTCTTCGGAGGTTAAAGTGATCATCCCCTACTAATTTTTTCCACCCGTATACAAATACTTCCTAGTGCGGGTAGTTATCCTTACTTACTAGCTAAGGGAAATCGTTCTCCGTGATGATGTAGAGTCCAGTTTCCCTCAGCAGTTTCCGTAACATCACAACAGAGATATAGAGGATTAATTTTTTTTTGAAAGCCATGAAAATCCCTTGTGAGGAATTGTGACACCAAATAATCAGAGGGAACCCATTTTGCTTCCAACCTTGAATAGTATTTATTCATCTGTGGTTTGCTATTTCTTGGTTTAAAACTGGGAAGAATTATTTTTCTTTTTTAATCATATAGAAAACATTTATCTCAAAAAAAGTTATTCATGAATAATTAACTGATGACTATATTAAAAAAAAAAATGTAATAACAGACTTAATTTGGTTCATGTTAATGTAGAAAAATATTCTTAAAGTGTCTAATACCTTAATTTTTACTTTAATAGCAAATAATATACTATAAATAGAAAAAAAATAAGGCAAAAATAAAATAAACATAAAACAAAATTCTTTTTAGATTGGTAGTTTTCCATTGAGGCCACTTCGATACAAACATTATGAAAATTAATGAATTTTTATTAATTGTTTTAGTATTAATAAGTTTCACATTAATATCAAATACATTCCATATGAATATTTTCCTAACCATGAGTATTGTATTTTTCTCAGGGAGTTTTGAAGTATTACCAAAGTGAATTTATGGATTTAGCTTGTAGAAGTACAACTGTTGTATGCTGCCGATGTTCACCTACACAAAAAGCAGAGGTTCATTTCTTTTGTTAACATTTTATTAATATGTATGTCGATTAGTATTAATTAGTTTATTAACTATTGTCAATTTAATATTATATTGAAAATGTATATATATTTATATATTGACAGATTATTTAATTATGATTTAGGTTAAACTTTATTTCCTATTTTTTATCAATGCTTTCCTGATTTAATTATAATAATAAAAAAATGACATAGTTATTAAAATTTTCTATGAGTTATATCTTAATTTTGTTTGTAAGGTAATATATATTTTTAAAGGTGGTAAAATTAATCCAAGAACATACTGGAAAGCGCTGTGCTGCAGTTGGAGATGGAGGTAACGATGTTAGCATGATACAGGCTGCTGATACAGGTAATTTAAATATTAATTATATTATATACGAAACTTATGTGCTATATTAAATCTATAAAATCCTAACCTTGTTTCCTAGGATTTTAGAAATAATTTTATATGTTTTGATGATAAAATCTTCCATTTATTTTAAAACTATTATAGTGTGCCCAAGATGAGTCTGCTCCTCAAAACCCCTCTCAAGCTCGACTGAGTTCCATAAGTCCACATAATATTGTTTGCATGTGTTGAATGAACATGACTTTCATCTGAGTAAACAATGGGATGATCTTCTTTTCGATATTTAGCTATTTGGGCCAAACATTTTATTCTTTTTAGGCGGATGTCATTTTATGATTACCTATGATGCTCGGATGATTACCACATTTTGCTCTTTTGCAACCTAAATTTTGAAGTAATCTAATGTTTTTTTTATTTCCACTGGAATTAATTTCTCCATTTTCCCTTATTTTTTTTGTAAAATGTTGTTCAAAGATGGTAGTTCTTTTATCAATTATATGAAAATTAAGCACTAGTCTGCAAATGTCTTCTTTATCAAAGTTTTTTTTCTTCTCTTTTTTTCCATTTTTCCCTTCCTTGCCTTTTAGGCTATATAGGGTTTACCCCTGGGCCAGAGAGTGTGGGCGAGGGTTTAGTTCTAGAGTTAAAAAAACCCTCATCACTGGGACACAAACTTGCAATTGTTTTATGTTTTATAACTTCGGTTATCATGTTACTGGGTATCGCACGGGCACGTTAACCTGCTCGCCCACCTTACTCCATTCTTTATTAAAGACAATATTAACGTTTGTTTTATTTTTGGGCCATTTTTTCGGCAGAATTTTCAAAACAAGGTTTATCACCTCACCTCTCTCTAAAGCTTCACCCTCTTTTATGATATTTCTCATAGTGGGTTCCGAGATATCAGTAGCATTGGAAACTCTTTTCATAACAGAAGAACCATGGATTGGACAACTGGCAGCCTCTGTCCTGGCTGTTGAACTGGTGTGAAAACTGGATAGTTTTCCCTCTACCCAGTTTATATAGTAAACAAAAATTGGTAGAAGATGGAAAAAAACTGGTAATTTTTTTTTTCAGGCCTGAAAGAGGGCGGGGCAATTATGCCGAGTTATCCACCATTGAAACCATTATTACACCGTTATTTGAACTCGTAATTATTTTTCTCAAATTTCGGTTATCAGGGTGCTTGGGGTGGGGAAGCCAAGTGGTCTAACACATGTTCACAGCACAACAACAACGGTCTTTGAACAACATTTTACAAAAAAAGAAGGGAAAATGGAGAAATTAATTTCAGTGGGAATAAAGAAACATTAGACTACTTCAAAATTTATTTTTCAAATGAGCAAAATGTAGAATAGTAGAATAATCAAAAAGCTTTGATGTTTTAATGAAAATGTTTGGATTAAATAGATAAATATCACCTCCCCCCCCCCCAAAAAAAATTATAGAAGTATGAACGGAGTAGTAGAGGGAAAACAAAAGAGGGAGGGATCGGCGAGAAAACGTTTTGTTACTGCGCCTCTCTCTCTTTCTACCCGCCAGCAAACTCATCTTGAAAGGACTCTGCATTTTTTTATATTAGAAAATGTCAAATGAAATTAAGTTGTATCATAGATTACTTTTATTATGAGTAATGTTAACACATTTTTTTTTTTTTTATGTTAATCAAGGTATCGGAATTGCTGGTAAAGAAGGTAAACAGGCATCCCTGGCTGCTGATTTTTCTATAACCCAATTCTCCCACCTCCAGAGATTATTATTAGTACATGGTAGATATTCCTACAAGAGATCAGCATCACTGTCGCAGTTCGTTATTCATAGAGGCCTCATTATTTCTACGATGCAGGCTATTTTTGCTGCCGTTTTCTACTTCTCTTCTGTTGCACTCTTCCCCGGGTTCTTTATGGTCGGGTATGTGAATATTTCAATAAGCATATTATGCTAATCTGTTAAGTTTCCTAACTATATGTTTGTTAACTTTTTTATTTTTTAACAATTTTAGGTATGCCACTGTATATACGATGTTTCCTGTATTCTCACTAGTTTTAGACCAAGACGTTTCAGATGATATCGCTTTAAAATATCCAGAACTATATAAAGAGCTTAAAAAAGGAAGATCACTTTCTTTTAAAACTTTTTTTATGTGGGTTTTAATTAGTATTATCCAAGGTTAGTATATATATATATTTTTCATTTTATTTTATTTCATTATGGTGGCCACTGAAATCAATCCTTTCCATGCCCCATGGAATAACTCTGTGTATAATATCCTGTGTGAATTTTTCATAGTGGTGTAGTTCCATTATTATTCCTATATTGTTTACTGTGACATATCTGGTAAATAATTGTTACATCATTTTCTCAGTAATTCTGGTTATTTTCTTTTTAATAACGCTGTACAATAAAACCTGAAAATTTACATTGATTTGTTGTAAGAAATATAAAGCATTTCATAATGCATCAGCTGTAAGATTTTAACATTTACAAATAAAATGAGAAACAATCTTACCTTGGTGGGTTCATAATAAAGATCAATTTATATTGAAAAATGAAACAATTTTTATACTAAATGGAATTCACAATATATAATAAGAATTAATTTTATTTCTTCTATAACCGAATATTCAACAACAGGTTTCAACCTAATCTTCTCACTTTTGTTAACTGTCAACTATGACAAGGCAAAGATGCTCAATCTTTCTCAATTCGATAAAAAGCTCAAGCCTTACGAGTTATTTTTCTTATTTATTTATTTAAGTGTTTTTGAAAACATTTTTTAAACATAAAAAAAAAAAATTAAATAAAAAGAATATATTTATATCTCAATCAGACATCCCAAAAACCTCCTTAATTTTGTTTCAAGAGTTTCTAAAACAGATAAAATTCTAAAAAATATGAAGGAATTGATTTGCGACCATGTAACCATAAAATCGATAGTGTTTTTCAAAAATTAAGTCTTTGATAACATAGTAATTGACCTTTATTTAAAATAAATCAAAAGTTAAATCTGGTTTTAAAATTGTTTGATTTATCTTTGAAACAGTTGAATTTGACTTGCCAAAAATTATATTTGATCTAAAAACAATTTAATTGGACTTTAAAAAAATTGAATATGACTTGACTGGAACTATTTGGGTAGGAACGAATGGATCTCCCCAGTAGATATGAGACAGTCAATCCAACCAGCCTATTAAGATACGCAGAGCGGCAAAAATAACATTTTGATAATAAACGAATAACTTAATTGGCGCACAATAGATCCTTCGGGGGTCGACATGCCCTGAGCCAACAAATTAAAAAAAAAACATGACTTGAAAATACTATATAAAATACACTCCCACCTGCATTCCTTAGAATTTTGATATAGTTTTTTTTTTTTTTTTTTTTTTATTGAACGCCTCTGCCGTTGGCTATTAGGCCATTCGGCTTCTGGCAGCCCAGTACAACTCCGCCATGAATCGTTTGTTTACATTTGTTCCCATTTGTTCCGATCCCATCAGAAGTACTGCGGACTTTTGATATAATGAAATAATCTATTACTTTTGTGAAAAATATGACTAAAGAAGCAGTTTAGCCTTATCTCTACCATGAAAGATGCCGCTATAGTTTCTATAGAAATTTCAGAATTTTCAGTAACAACTATCAGCAACTGTCATATCTTGTTTCATAGTAGTAACTGTGGTATCTCCTATTATAGCTAAAGCTGTAGTATTTATGATATCAGAATGGTTTTGAAAATTGAATTTAGGAGTAAAAATATTATTAAAAAATGGAATGAAGGAGTGGAATGTGTTGTGATTGTGATTCTTAAAATCATATTTACTTCATTGTTCCACTGGAGTGATAGTCAGTGGCAGCCTTCATAATTTTATTGTTTTTATGTTATATTTATATCTACTTTTTTATTATTTATAGCTGGAGTAATTATGTATGGAGCTTTAGTTTTGTTCGACGACGAGTTTATACACATTGTAGCAATTAGTTTTACTGCACTCATTTTAACCGAACTTATAATGGTCGCACTAACGGTCAGGACTTGGCACTACATAATATTACTCGCAGAACTTCTCTCCTTCGGCCTTTACATCGCATCACTTTTCTTACTCAGTGACTATTTCGGTAAGTATAAATAGATTAATATTGCTTTTATGGAATTTATAAATATTCCAAGGGAACTGATAAATTATTTACTGATGTGGAAAGTTGTTTTCTTTCTCATTTATGTAAGATGGTTGATCTCTATTTGCTGTTAAAAAATAATTAGTTTATTGTGGGATCAGTGTGCCCTAGATTAGCTCATTACTTAAAAAGTAGAGGATGGGGTGCAAGTGCTTTATAGTTCATTTCCAGATTATTATTTCTCCTAACCTCTAAGCACCCCTAATAACTAAAAAGTTAATACTATTCTGAGGATCACATTATACAATATTTAGTGAAACATAATTGAATAAATTTATAGTAAAATATCTAGTGTGTTCTCTTACAAAACTTTTCTACCAATCTAAAACAAAAACATAAAAACTGAATCAGCACATAATTTTCATGAGAACTGATTTTACTGAGTGATTCAGTTTTAAAAAATACATAAATATTTTGTAAAAAAAAATAAATGAGTTTCTATGTAAACTTTCCAAATTACTTTTAAAAACATGGATACTAGTAGAAAAAGTAAAAACAGACCATTTTATACCACTTCCTTAAACAATTTTTTTGTTGGATAAACTCGAGAGGTACTCCTTCTGCTATGACATGTACCGCCTCACAATACACACTGCGGTACAACTTATTAATTCTCAGTCTTCACCAGTGCGGAACCACACAGAAGAAGCTTATCTTAAAATGCATTATACGATCCTATTATAAATGGTCATAATATTGTTTTTGTTGTTATGCTTATTCTCTGAAGTATTTTCTTATTGGTGCATCAAAGTGTACCCCCTGTCATTCTCAATATTTAAAGAAAAGATTTGACTTTCTTTTAAAAAATAAATAAATAAATTAAAAAACTATATTCAACCCACCAACAAAAAAAAATTACTTTCTGTATATATACAACTTTTCCAACTAGAAATATCACTAAAATGACATTACTCAAAAATGTTGAAATTGTAATTAGTCATTCTGTCAACTGATGAAAGGCTCAGAGACTGAAGTTGTGTGTGTGTGGTTTATAAAAGCAGATGGAATAAATTTTTATTGGCTACTGACGAAGTAATAAATAGATTTTTTAAAATTTTAATGGTCTTAATGATTTTTTATCTTTAAGCATTAGCTCAATTTAAAATGCAATTTAAAAATTCTATAATAATCCAACATTACCAAAAAATAACTTCTATACAAAGTAGAGGGGTAAGTGAAAGTTGTGTTTTGCACTCCAGATTTTTTTTTTTTTTTCTAAAGATCAGATTTATATACTATACCTATAGCTTTCCTAAAAAGATAGATTTAATTTTTAAATTACAATATCGTAGAGACGATATCGATAATCACTAATATCGAAATAGATACAATAGTCATCCCTACGGTGAGCTAATACCGTCCTCAAGGCTGTTCCTCACTTCTCACTCATTGCTAAAAGGTTGAGTCCTTCGGGCCTGATTTTTGGTACATCAGTATTTCATAATTAATGCTCCGTAAAGGGCAGCTCGTGCCAGTTCAGGATTTTGCTTCAATAAGGTGTTTATAGACTCACTCCAAAGATGCATTATGATTATAGACAACAGTAATTTTTTTTTTTTATTTAAAAAAATGATTATATTTTCTTTGTTAATTAGTTATCCATTGATTTTACCAGAAATATTATTGTTTTATTTTCAGATCCAACGTTTTTGTGGACAGCAGATTTCGTTTGGAAAGTAACAGCTATTACTCTTCTTAGCTGCCTTCCACTTACCATTGTCAAGTGTCTGATGAAGAAGTGTTCTCCACCAAGCTATGCAAAACTCTCGTGAATTGTTTTGTTGTTTTTTTTTTAAAAAAACTATATTTCCATGAAAAAACAAAAACAAATATTTTTCCAATTTATAAACATGGCTTCTTTTTTCATTGTGATATGTTATTGACCATGAAGGTGCTTCATTTTAAATGTAATTTAACCCTCTCCTATTATTAAATAATAATATATTTTATTTATTATAATTATAATGGTTTAATTACCTGTAGTATTATTATTTTAAAAATATATATCTTTTTTATTTTATATAAAACATTAAAAAGATAAATTGTTATTCTTTTTATTTTGACTCTCCTATCAATAATATATTTTTTATGGTTATGTTCAATTGTACAGTTGGAGAATGCAGATAAAATACAAGGTGGCACAAATGTTGTTCACTTTTTAAATAAATTAAACTTCTTAGGTTTTATTTAGTTATTTTTTTTTTAGATTTATGAATTATGTTCGCCCAAACTTCAAAAATATAGTTAAAAAAAAAAAAATAATACCATTCATATACAAAAAATAACTTCTGAAATGGATAATCAGTTCTGGAAAAAGGTTAGGAACCCTCTTTAAATGTTTGTTTTTTTTTTCTTCTCTTCCGCAATCTGTATTAAGTTTTCCTGGCCCAGAGGAGAGGGTGGGGGGAGATTTATGCAAGAGTTAAAAGACGCCAAATTTGACTTAATCTTCGGTTTATCAGATTGCCAGGCAATGCATATTTTACACACCTGTCAGCCTGCTCGGCCACTCCGCCACCATAAATTAGACATGGTACATGACTTTTTGTTTACTTACATTTTGGACCTGCTTTGAGGCCGTATACTCGACAATATATATTAGAAATAAAATAGTCTTAGTAGATTAGGAGCCAATGGCATATTCATTCAATGGACCGTAAAGCTACTTTTATGTCTTCAATCACATCCGTTAAACGATAGTCTTCATCGAGTAGAACTCCAACCCTTTTCTCCATCTATATGAAGAGTCTCCAACGTACTGCCCATGGACCATATTTAAAAATATGCTATAAATAAGATTGGTTAAAATTCATGTCTTGTAAAAAAAGGAAGAAGGAGACACTAGTGCACAGAAGGAAGAAATGGGGAGAATAAGCAGCTCGGGCATACAAATGACTGTCGAAATTTCTACTGAAGAATTAACAATGAGTGAAAGGCGTTTAAACCACTGCATGTAGGGATACAGACAGCATCCTTCTCACAAGCATGGACCTGGTAATGAGAAGGTAGATAAACAATTTTGACGAACTACTGAACTTCGAACAAGGTGGAACTGATCAATTGGACCCTAACTCTGAAGGAAATCAGCATATGAGAATTGATGAGGAAGAGATGTGTGATGCAATTGAGAAACTAAGAAACCATAAAGCACCTGGAAATGATGACTTGCCTGCAGAATTCTTTAAGAAAGGAGGCGGAAATCTAGTTAAAGCCTTACAGAACCTATTTGTATAAGTGTGGACATCCAACAGAACCTATTTGTATCAGTGTGGACATCCGAAATAATGCCAAGTTTTTGGAAAAGTCGATGTATCCAATCCACAAGAAAGGGGTGTACTTGAATGTAAAAATTATCGCTTTTGCCTTGAACATATAAAATATTTTCAAACTTTTTACAAATGCGACTTCTGCCATTTGTGTAGGGCTTACTGCAAAAATATCAGTGCGGATTCCGCAAAGGTAAGTCAATGGTTGATCATATCTCGCTCTGCATTGTCCTGCAATGAAACAGAGAGTATTGCATCTAGACGTGGGCGGGGTGGCGGAAGGGCTAACGTGTGTGCACAGCACCGCCGTTGCCCGGCAACCTTATATATAAAACGATGGATTTAAAATAGTCACGAGTTCGCGTCCCGGTGCCGAGGGAGTCTTTTAAATTTCCGCCCACACCCCCTGACCCGGGAAAACTCCATATAGGCGGGGCCAAAAAAAAAAAAAAATTGCATCTAGACCTGTTTGTATACATAAAAGCTGCTTATGATAGTGCACTACATGAACCTCTTTATCAAGCGATGAGGGAACTAAACATCCCAAAGAAACTTATTCGATCGGTTAAATAAACATGGCAGAATCGATGTACGTGGTGCGTGTACAGGCCGAATTATCAGAGATGAGCTGGAGATCGGGGACTGTAAACTGGCGGATGTTATTGGAGGAGGTCAGGGATTAGTAATTGTCTATCGAGACAATGGACGAAAAAAGAAGAAGCAGTCAAATTTTAACTTTTGTTTTTTCTCCTAGTGTCCAACAGTAGAGTGTGCGCCGGTTAGAATCCGCCCTGGGAAGAGTTGACTTGTATTATGTGGCGGACCCACGGAATGGAACTCGACCTCTCCCCACCCCAGTCTGGTCAGAATAAGTTTGGTTGTACCTCTTGAACAACCCCTCTCCCCCTGTATGTCAGACATGGTGGGTATAGAGTAATTCAATAAAATATATATATATATATATATATATATATATATATATAATATATGCCTATATGAAAAATTACTATCTCTGATAAGTAATGAGTTGTTTCAAGCCCTTCTTGATGACAAAAAAGTGTTAAATCACATCATAGTCTCCTGAGAGCCATGAATTTTGATGAATAAGGTATAAAACTGACTATTTCATGAAGAATTGATGAATGGCAGTCATTGATAAATTTCAAAACGTCAATAGTTTCTAAAGTTGAGGAGTCGCTACGGGATAAATTTTATTTAAAATATTTGTAAGGAGATATCAAGAATTGGTTTAGTTCCAAGGGAACTATCTGGCCCCAATTTTAAAAGCCCTAAAACGTACTGGTTTAGAAATAAACCGTAATGATTAATATAATGGATTTAATTAAAATCGTTAGTCGTTTTCGAGAAAAGTTTAAAAATCTATGATATTAAGTGCCACTTCCGGTTAGCCGATTTTGAAGAAAAAGTTGCTGTAATATCCCAGGCATGTGTAACCCTTAAATACTCAATTTTAGTTGCAAACGATTTTCGATTTTGAGCTAGACTGTTCACACACACGCACACACCATTTTGCATCACTCGGGCTTTGGGCCTGGAACTAGGTTTGAGTCTTGATGAATTATTTTTTTTTTAAAGTTGAAGCTCCACCTCCCCAATATGGGAAAATTGTGTGTTGCTCGTACCAGCTCTTTTTTATGATGGTAGTAACAATGTGAATAAATTTCCGAAATATAATAGGAATATATTATTTTTTGGTTGGTATCAACAATGTGAATATATTTTCAAAATGTAATGTGAATAAACAGACAGAGGAAAAAACATGTTCGATGCCAAGGATCGAGCCTTGGCCGATTTGAGAAAGCTCGAGACTTATGGGCTCAAGCCGTATAGCCTTCATACTGAGCTCTTTTACAAAACTAGCTTCTATACTCTTAGGGAGAGGACTAGAAACCAAGACTCTTCTGGAGGTAACAAATATGTCTTGAGACAGTACAATGATGGATTAATGTATGCTTAAGAATAGCTGCGTGTTATTGCTGAAATATTAAACTCTAGCGATATTTTACTATGAGGCAAACTAATCACTTGTTAAGTAAATTGTAATTTTTACGTCACGGTAAAGTATGAAGCTTCAGTAATTGTGTGTGCTGAATAGACCATCTTGGTATTATATTGTATATATGAATGAACACGTTTCATTGACGTTGCTTAAACATCGAACACATTTGGGAGAAAGATAGCTACCTAATGCGAAAGTTATCACGGTGCTATACTATTGTATATCTAATTCAATTGCATTATTAATTGGCTAAAATTAATTTATCTCATACGCCTTGTTATATTTTATCATTTCCAACGATGGTGATGCCCTATGGGTCGTTTCTACGAAACGGAATTGACTACATTAAGGAATATAATAACATCTAATTAAAAAAAATAATATATTCAAAAGTAAATGATACTATGAAAGTATAAGAGAAATAAGGTAATTATTTAGATCACATTTGTTCATAGAGTGCCGAATGCATCCGAGTTTATCCCTAAGACTATTTCATGAACAAGTGTGACCGAAGTGATTGTGAACCCCGCGTAATTCCTACAGTTCTCATCTAAATAATTACCGAAATAAATTTTGAAATTCAATAAAACAGATCATGAACCAATAACATAAAATATCAATTTATAAAAAAAGTATGGAGGATTATTAAAATTGATCAGTTTAAAATACTTTTCTTACCTGCTAGGAATGTAAAAAATTATGGTTGTAAATAATCACATTAAAATAATTTTCTAATTAATTAAGTTGTTAACTAGGCATTTGACACATATATTAACTTTATCGATATCTTTAATCAGATGATCGATGACCTTTTTTTTTATAGTTATATCAACTTAAAAAAAATTTGTGTTGCATATCTCTCATATAATAAAATGTTCGAACAACATACGTATACTTTTAGAAGTAATCTGAGCTTTTAAATAGTACTTCTTTCATCTTCACGTCTGCTGTTAAACAGAACTGGTTAGTACCTCTTTGTTTGTTCGGACGAACTGCTCTTTACTGAACTACTTTTCTGTGAACTAAGTTCATGGGCGATGGATTGAAAATATTGACTTTTCTGTTTATTTATAATGTTTGTTACTTCTCAGGATAATTGCTTGTGAAATGGAAGCAATTAAATCTCGACTTATCCACAGAGTTGCCATAAATGCCAATAAGGTAATTTTTTTGTGTATTTACACATTTTTTTACATTTGAATTTAAAATTAGACTCTTTCATTGATTATTTTACAATTTTATTAAACTAAGTGGCTTGATCGTTGTTAATGTTCAACAATATTTTTAGACTTTCAAGGCTGTGCATTCCTCCAAAATATTACCACCTATTGGAGTATCTGTCAGAGGAGATATTATTGGAATACCGAATCCTATCTCGAATTTAAGACCAATAACATTTCATATACCACCTGATGAAACTTATGTAGAAAGGAAATTTAGACTAAAAAAGGAGCAAGTCCACAATTGGCATGAAGAATTTTGGAAACATCATAACATAAGATTTATGTTGGTAAGAAATTATGTTTTTTCTGGGTTTGCCACATTTTCCCTCTCCCCAATGTTTCTTAAATAAGAGTGCAGTATTATTAGAAGAAAAATTTTGAAATTCTATAAATAACTATTTTTGTAGTGAATTTATATCTATAAATTTATGCCCATGGTTATAAACAAAATTTTAAAAAAGATTATGATTTTTTTTTTCCATTTCAATGATAATTTCAGATGAGGATGTACCTTATCTAATCTGTATTTCTGACGAGTGCTCATTTTATTTTCCTCAATTGTAGAAATTCGAGAATTCAAAAATTGTCTTTTCTTTTTTGGCCTACAATTTACTAAAAAAATTTTAATTATGTTAGTTAAAGATTCAATTGATTTTAATTTTCAAATATTAACTAACTATTGAACATAAGTATGCAATAGCCATTATTTTTGCTGCTCTCTATGAGCCATTAAGGTTAACTAATTTTATAAAAATATATCAAATTTTGACATAAAATTTTTATTAGATGTTTTTTAAATAAATATTGCTTTGAAACATGATATTCAAGTCCTTTTTGCTCCCTTTTTTTTCAGATGTATACTTTTTTAGTCTCTATATTAGTGTGATTTTTATAAAAATACATAGTGAAGGAGGAAAATAAAAATATATTAACATAGTAAATTTAAGTATTTAGCAAGTGAAATTAATTCCCTGATTTATTTTTATTATTTTAGTTTTCAAGATATTGTTTTAATCGTTATCGAGTAGTTCAATAAAATATGATATAGTATTACAGTAAATTTTTGATCTAGGAGTATGAAATCAAGGGTTATTTTGTTTTAAGAAAATATTTTATCTTAAATTTAATTTAATTTTTACAAATACAGAACAATTTATAATTTTATATCCAGGGATTGATTTTAAAATTTTTTTTTTGAGATTAAGTTACCTAATAAAGTCTTTAACATGCAGCACAGAATTGTCTGAAAATATTATACTGGGCTACATTTTGTAACCGAAGAAGTATATTACTTGAATATTTATTTAAAAAATCTCGTGTGCGCATCACACGATTTTCAGTACCATTCTCTTCTTAGCAGAAATAAGTATTTTCAGACAAAGGGGAAATGAAAGTAAAAATTATAGACACTATATTTATTTACATTTAATTGTGGGTATTTGTATTTGTTTAATTATCCTTATATATACACATTTTAATTTTTATATTGCTGTAATCTATACAATTAAATATTAAATAATACCAATGATAGCAGTCATGAAAATCACATGTGTATGTGTTCATAATATGGTTGGAGTCCGTATTATATTAAGCTCATGTTACGTATAGAAGCCTGTTCTAATCTTTCGGGCGAGTTCGTATTCCTTTGGTTCCTCCATTTCTACAGTTATCCGTTGCGATCTCTTGTTTCTCCTTTAGTTAATTATCAATTCTTTCAAATTTTATATTTAACTATTTTTATATCACAGATTAATATGAAATGGTTAATTGTTTCGAATAAAAAAAAATTGACGGTACTTAAGAGAAAGCCAATATTGAAAATTAGTCATTTAAGCCCTGTTAGAGAACATCAATGAGAATAAAACCTACATTATATTAAAAAATGCTTAATAATACACTAATGTACTATGTTAAATCCAAATTGTTAAAGCCGCTTGTGATAAATTTGTAAAAGTGTGTTGAATCGATTATATAAAGTGCCACTTCTGGTTAGCCAATTTTGACAACAAGTTGCTGTAACATCTGTGATATATACAGACCTTAAATATGCAATTTCACTTTCATACGATTTTTCGTTTTTGAGCTAGACTGGTCACATGCAGACCATTTTGTGGGACTTGGTCATTTGGACTCAGAAGACTTCAAAAAATGTTGTTCGTTTAAAAACAGATTCAAAAATTTTAATGATCACAATACTATCTCATTTTAGATTGGGAATTATACTGGTTGCAGTAAAACTGTTGTTATTTTTTTTTTATTAAAATTTAATTTACTTGTTAATATTTTTGCTTATAATTTTATTCATGTTATTTTAATTATTAAACATTATTGTTTTACCAAATCTTAAATATCCAGCTTCTGGTGTGAATACATATTACTATTGTTGAAAATTTAAAATTATTTAATTAAAACGGTATTAAAAAGATATAATCTTATTAAAATAATATTTGTTTAATGTTTTTAATTAAGTAAATATTGAAATCAAATAAGTTTCTTAAAAATATATTGCTGTCAAATTTTAGGTTTAAACTACTCTTTATTAACTATAATTCTTAATTATTTTTTACTTCTTAATTATTTATTCTTAGATATTTAATTATTTAACTAGTTAATATAGTTGTGTTATAATTTTTGAAGGATATCTGCAAATGTGCTGTATTATTTTTATAATTTTAATATATATCTGTTATGGATTATTTGTTCCATAGTTTAAAACTTCTGAATCTTCTATATTAATTTTACATTCTTTATTTTAATGAATATGTTTAATGAATACTACTATTGTTTTCTGGACCTTATATCAAAATCGGCTAACAGAGATTTTAATTAGTATTTATTATCATCTCAAATGGCATTGAATTACAGTCAACCTACCAGATTATTTATATACTTAGTTAATTTTAGATTTGACTTAGTGTTGTTCTAAGTAACCATTAAACCATTAAATAGATCATATTGCAAAAATTCATTGGTTTGTCGCAAAAAGTCATTAAGTAACATTTCATAATTTCAAATCATAAAGCACTTTGATGGATTTTCTCTTTGTGAAATTAGAAAATTGCACACTTGTAACTTCTAGGTTGTTGCAAAAATCCTTGCGAATAAATTTAGCTTTACTTCATATTGAATACTTCTTTTTAAAGTAAAGTCCATTGTTTTCAACTGCTTTCATCCATCTCTCTGCAAGTAAAGATCTGACCTTTTAGAAAATGAGCCATTGATCCAAACAAATCATAATCTGGACTATAAGGTTTACTGCGTGCAATTAAGATAATTTTTCATTGGTCAAACGAGAATCTCGTGCAGGGCCATTGTCGTTTTGCAAAATGGCTTGGTTCCTGTTGAGCTTTGCACTCAAAACTGTTCACAGTAAAGGTTTGACAGAACATCAGAAACAAGCTCAAAATGTAAAACATCTTTGATGTTCCACTAAACTCAAAGCATCACTTTTTTCCCAAACCGATCTTGACGATTTTGATGGGTTACTGTCCCTCCTTCTGTGGCACAAATTTTTTGGCAGCTGTTTTTAAGTTAAGACTTTTTTTCCAGTAATGTATCAAAAGACCACGAATCACGATTATTTCTTCTGACCTCACATGTGCATTTTAAAAATGTAAATGACTCCATAAAGCTACTTGAGTTAAAAATGGGATATTCAAAGTAAACATTGACATAAACAGTAGGAACAAAAACATTCTTATAGAATTAATAATGAGAGTTGGAATTAAGGATTGTGTTCATGCCCTAGGACTTATTTAACAACCTAGTATGATGTATATAAGCGTTTGTTTGTGTCATTTTAATGTATTTCATGTGTTCTTTTATCTCAAAATGTGGTCAAAATTCATAAAAACAATCTTAGAAAAAAGTTCAACTCAACCAAAAATGTGCTTAGTGACTTTTTGAAATAAACCAACAAAGTAATGTATGTTTCTTTTTAAGTTTGATAATTATATTAATTTAGTTTATGTTTATTTGTTTTTATTTCCAGGAACGTAAAGAATATGTAGAATCCATGAAGGAAAAGAAGGCGGACTTTGGACCGTTAACTCCAGAAGAAATTTCTGTATTTTACAAAGCTTTTTTAGATAAATATTGGATGACTCATATGTGGTATAATATTGAGTGGTACAAACATAACCTAAACCTTTTGGCTCTCGCCTTGAAGGTTGAATTAGATCGTTTTAGACGAAAGTTATTCAGTCACGAATAGTAAATTATTTTATTTTAGTGTAAAATAAATTGAATTATAGTTGTATATATTGATTATTTCAAATATATCCTTTATTTATTACAAAAATTACATTAATTATAACTACATAACCTATTTTTAATTAAACATCCTTGTGAATTAAATCATAAACCTTTGGAGCACTTTGTTAGTCAAAAGCAGAGGTCTTAATTCTTTTACAGATAGTTTCAAGGCCACACTGATCTCTACTAGTGAACTATTTATTTATTTAGTGTTTCATTGAATTTTCAGTTAATATGTTTGCATAAATAAAAAAAATTATCACACATCCAGAATGAAAATGATACAACTAAAAAAAAACTGAGATTTAAGTTTTACATTTTCTTTTGCGTAATTACACAGCATCTATACTGAAAGTTTTTATGATTTAATTTTTTTACTTTTGAGCCTTAGCAGCTCTATTCTTACATTATTTGATACATTAAATACCACCCAGCCATATTATGGATTTGATTGATAAATCGACCAGTTTTTATAAACAGTTAGGTAGGATTTTCGGTGTATGTGTTTATAAGCTACTGTTTTGCCTATTTATTTCTTTAATTTTTATTGTATAGAAAATGATTTAGGTTTATAATATATGAGATTAAAAATTAATGTCGAAGACATTCTTAAAATCAGTTAACTGGAATAATTTGTTTGCAGGCATTAACCTGCACAAAAACTGCAATGAATTTTCGACTGAAGCTTTGTCGGCATTGAGTATCTTGTCCATAGCAGGCATAACATTTTTCTGAAAGAAAGCGTCCACTTTCGGATTCATGAAAAAGTCTAACTCGGGGTTGGAAGTTCCCAGTATTACATTGGACATCTTCTCATAGTTGATAGCATCCAGAGAAATGCGACACTCAGTTCCGTTATGGACAGTAAACCCGAGACGAAGAGAATTGTCTACTATCCTGAAAGAGGCGGACAAGTATTGGCCTTCGTATGTGACAGTTCCGAAGAACGCTGTCAGGAAAGAGTAGCCGAAGTGGATATCGAAGGATAACGAATCTGGCTCCGTCTTCAAGACGCAGTCTCCAGTCCTTATCATGGAGTCTAAGCCGACGAGAGTTCCTTCTGAATATGAAACCTGCAAGGAAAGAATTGGATTAGTATTCTTATAAATCAGAAATGCTTTTGCAGCAAATAATTTTTTTGGTGCTGTTAGAACCAGCAATTCTCCCTCTTGTTAATAAGATAAATAGATGTATTAGTTAATAAATAGTATTCTCTAGTGAAAACTCATACATCGAGTAGTTATCCTTTTCCCTAAAGCTGTCGATGTATAAGCAACATCAGCATAAGATTTTTATTCTTCATACTTACAATAAAATATTAACAAGATAGTCAATTCAACACGTAATATTGGTGAAGCTTCAGATCTCACCACGAGTCATAAACTAACAACTTGCATATTGGAAAATGTCTCTCCAGTTTGAGAAAAATCAATAGGACAGCTATTCCCGAGTAATAATCATTCAAGGCCTATTTGTTGATTGCTGAAAAGCCTTGGTTTTTAGTTCTCTCACTTACTGACAGTATCAAAGTCTATTACTGAAAGTACAGAAGCCAAATAATAATAATTATAATAAAAAGCCTAGCGAACCAGAAGGTTCTCTGCCGACACCATCAATTACTGTCTGCTCATTTACTATCTCCCCCACCGTTGGCTGTCCAAACCCAAGCAGATCAGCCTTCTCGCAATAATTTCACATCCGCTTAGGTGAATCTCTCGAATATTTACCAGTCAGCATTAGTTTTTTGTGAAATTTGCCAATGAAAGATGTAGATGAATAAAATGGAAATCGCAATAGGCCGAAGTTTATTGAAATATGTCAAGAAAATAGTAAAATAAAATAAACCAAAATACTTTCCTTTGATTTTATTATTTATTTTTGCATGGTATAAGTTGTTCATAGACCTCATTCAACTTCTCCAACTCCAATCCGATCTTCCAAGCAATACTAGTTAATAGTTTGTGACAATAATTACTATTTAAATTGGAATAACAAAGAACTATTTAAATATTAGTTTTCCTCCATAAGAACAAGAAACAAACATACTAGCATAGGGAAACAAATCATTTAGATAATTGTGTTTTCCACCACTCCCTACATGTCATTATAATAAAGATTTATTGATTGTTTTAAAAAAGCCGAAGCAAAAGAAAGAAGAAGAGTTGCAGGATTATTTGATTAAGAATGCTTCAAAAGAAAATATGAATGAAGATTCATAAGACAAAGAACTTGAAAATATTAAGAGATTCTAGCTGTTAATTCAATTAGATTTAATTCAAATTTCCTTCCTGGATCAATGAAGAAGTCTTCTCATTGATAACAGAAGGTGTTGGACCTCAATGGATGATGCCAGATTCAGGCAAATGGTGATTGTTGATAGTTATCAGTTAAATTTTATGTTAACCAAAATTCAAGACCATCCTGTTTTTTCAATAAGACAGCACCCAATATCTGTCCAATTGTTTGTGGTATCTTACAGACTTGTATTGGGAGACTGATATTGTACATAGAACTAAACAGGACATCATAATTTCATTATAACCTTCATGGATTTAAGAAATTAGCACCACTGTACAAGACCCCAGACTTTGTTAAAATCTAGTGTGCTAGCAGTCATATTTAACATACATTTCTTAAATGTTTCTCGACTTTAACCCATTTAAGAGGTTAACAATACTTAGCTCTAGTTGCATGAATAGCCCTAATACAATAATGACTGCAGTCAACGAAATACTTACACTGCCATTTTCATAAGATATACTTCCTGCTGGAATCTTTGTTGTGGTTTCTTTAGTTGCTTTGATCAAGGTATTCATCAATTGCAGTATTCGTTCGCTTCCTGTATTGATGTTGATCACCTCCGAACTGGTGGAGGTAAACACTAAGGCCAAAAAGAAGCAAAATGGCAACATGTTGTTCAACAAACTGAAAATCAAAGACTGGTCTGATTTGAGTATTGACCACTTTATATTAAAAAGGAGGATACTTGAAATTCAGAAAACCTATACAAAATGTTTAACTTATATCTTATCTGTAATTACTGTATTGAATTGATAGGACAAGAGTACTTGAATATAGCGATTGGGAATTAACTGAAGCCAATGCTGCAAATTACTTAACTATAATTTATTTTTTCTAAATAACTGTAAACGAAAAAAGATCTGGTTTTTCCCTCGCACGATTTCCTTTGCCCCATTGGAGAAAAGTTTAATATTAAATATTTCGCCTGATTATGATATATATTTAGAAATATTGTATATATTACTTGTAAATAATAGACACTTGGAGTGTATTGAAGGTCTTCAGTGGAGAGGCATTTTTTATCCGTGAATGGATGGAAAGGGCAGTGCGAGATTGGCCCTAAAGGGATCAGATATGTAGTTATTGGTGCCCTACAGCTACAACATGGAGAACATGGACCATAGCAAAGGGAAGTTGGGTGACTCTCTCCGGGCTATTCGTGGCTGTTAAGCAATGTATGCGTCTGTAAGGAGATATACGAGTACATCTCGCGGTTAAAGATCTACATGGTCCATCAAACAACCAAATATTTATTCGTATATTTAGCTACTACAATAGTATTGAATATTTAATAGTTGATCGTTGCATTATAAAGGAAGGAGAGGGTCCGGGGTGGCGGTCATAAACAGGCTAAATAGTGGCAACAACTATTTTGTTAAAAGCCAACGTTTCGACCAGACTTCTAGCTTCAGGGCTAGAACGGACATTATGCAAAAAGATAAGATAGTTATGGAAGTGTCCATAGTAACGGTCGAATTTTCCTTGTCAGCCTTATTAATAATGAGGTGGTCGTTTGTTTTCCGGAAAGAGCGGGTTGAGGATAAATTAAAAAAAAAAAAACAGGGGAGATAAAGGGAACGAACGAGATGGAGGGTGTTGGAGGTGGTTCCTTATTAACACTATTCTCTATCTTTTTGTATCTTGTCCGTTCTAGCCCTCAAGAAGACCTGCAAAGTCGGGTCGAAACGTTGGCTTTTAATAAAATAGTTTTTGTCGCTATTTAGCCTGAGGAGGCACATTTCGCCGGGGTCATGAATAATCGGAATGATAATTTTCAATCCTGGCAATAAGGGAAAAACGGGTGATCAAAACCTTGCACGGCAAAACCTTCATAAACAAGGTAAGATGAAAAAATAATTACCAGTTCGCGTCCCGGTGCCGTGGGGACTTTTAACTAAGGAATTATTTTCTTACCCTTTCCCCTGACCCGGAAAAAACCCGTATAGCATAATGAGTGAGGTCCCCTTAATGGTGAGGAAGGTGACAAAACAAAAGTGTAATTGTTTATGATCTATGATTTTTCTGATTCTGCTATCGCTTGCACTGTTTTTATGAAGTGAGGAATAACATATTTAAAAGGAGGTGTGGATTTGTTCTGCTTCATCCAACTTTTGAAAGATGAGTATTCATGATTTCACATGTTCATCAATAACAAAATAAATGTTTTTCTGTTAACTTCATGAATAGCCCAGATAGGGATGTATGAAAAATCCCCACCGGTAGCCATTTGCAATTGTAATTGCTAACTTCAATTTAAATGTTATTAACGGTAACAAATTACCCCTCCCTCCCCCCCGACAATCATAACGATTTGCAATTATAAAATCAAATTTTTTTAGTAACTGGTTATCAAATATATTTAAGCCATACACGTATCATTAATAAACCTCTCACCAAAACCGATAAAGGTTGATTTCGAGTTTATTCAAGACAAATTAAACATCAACAAATTGAAAAGATTGCATTTAATTAGAGATAAAAAAAAATATTTCTCAATATTATCTTATGAAAATTGAATATTTCGCTTAAAAAATTTTTTGATATATATTGATTAATTTTAAATCAATAAAGGTATATTGGAATTTATTAGCTGTTGAGAAAAAAAATGTGATAAGTAAAAATCAATTAGTTCATTATTTACCATTGCAGATAAAATGTCAATATAAAAATGAATTTGTAAAATCATTATAGCCCAATGTCAAACAGTGGAATTAAATCATGGTGGAAAACATTTTAAAAATAGAAAATAATCTTGAACATTGAAAAAAACGCACTTAAATTTTTAATTAATTTAGGATAATATGTTTCTCAAGTATATTGTTGCCCAAAATTGGTCTTAGTCTTGTACTTTGCTTTCAAGACAAAGACCGCCTGTGGCGTGGCCAAGACGAAGACTGCTAAAAAAATCGTTTTTGTGAATAAAAATTAAGAGAAAATAGTAACTAATACTTGACTATTTTAGTTACTTTATGCAAAGAATTGGTATAACCAATATACTTAATTAGGTAATATTTAATTAGGTGTCTCCTATCTGAAAATGTTTACAGTAATATCTCTGTAGTAATAGGCTAATAGGTAACAGCAACACCGTTGCGAGACTTGTGCAAGACCAAGACATGTATTGGTTTCGCATTTGGGCAACACTACTCAAGTATCGCTTTATCATCTGCTTAGCGTATCACAATAAATTTTGATTATTTGGTTAACTTTATTACTTGGACCATGCTTGATTTATTTTTTGGCCCGCGCCATAGACCGCTATTTCTCAAATTATTAACATCCGTCTAAACTAACTGAAAGGCTTTATAGACTAGAAGCTACCATCGTTTCATTTCACTGAAGGGCTTATAGCTAATAACCATTTTAAATTTTTGGTAAAACTCATCTGAACTAGTGTTGCCAAATGCGAGACCGAGACGAGTCTAGGTCTTGCAAACCCAGTCTTGGTCCATGGTCTTGGTCTTGCGCAAGAGTCTCGCAACAGACTTGCAGTTACTTATTAGCTTATTAATATAGAAATATTACTGTAATTTTTTAGATAGAAGAAACCTAACTAAAAAATAGAGGAGTTAAATGCTGAAGTATGTTGGTTATACCAATTATTAACATATAGTAACTAAAATTATCGTGTAATAGTAACTATTTTGCCTTCATTTTTACTTTAAAAAATCTATTTTTTTTACCTGTCTTGTTCTTGGTCTTGCGACAGTTAGGCGACCTTGGTCTTGGTCTTGCACCTTGCACCTATTGTGTGGGCAACACTAATCTGAACACACAACTTCGGCCAGTCGGTTAAAAGCCATTGCTTTCTATACGAAAATTTTAATTAAAGTGGCGAAATTCGACGTTTCATTTAACAGAACTGACGCTGAACTTTTGATATGATGTCACTTACAAAGAATATATCACTAAAAATAATTCACCTTGACGGACTATGTACTCGATTGCGTTTCGAAAACTGACAGGTTCAGTCATCAAATTAGTCAAGTCGAATGGTAAGTTGGGTGTGGAAAAAATTCAAATAGTCGGTTTCTCTTCACTTTTTTACATATTTTGGAATTTTGAATCTGAATATAAAATTTCCAAACAAAATTTTCCAGAGCGTTCCGAGATATATTGAAAAATATTTCTCATTGAATTATTTAATTGAATGATATAATAAAAACTCATGTATGTATGTATCGTATGAGAAGTATGTATTTTTTTTTATTTAAAAAAAAATCTTAAAGTGCAACTTTAAGTTGATGATTGAGTGAACGAGTGGGGAACAAGAATAAAGAAAAAAAATACATGAGTATTTTTAATTTACGTATAGTATTCATTCATTTAATGTGGCACAATATTTAACTAATACTCATTACTTGAGGTGACTATAAATGAAGTGTAAACAGGGTTATAATTTTATTAATTAATATTTGATTAGAGCAAACAAAAGCGGCATGCTATGCTGTTCATTGAAAACGCTAAAAACGAATCGACAACATATTTGACATTAATTAAATACCTATATGGACTGAAATCAAAACTAGATATGTTATCATATTTTTTATATTTTTTTCTGTTCTTCCCTACCTCGCCTTTTAGGCTATAGGTGATTTTCCCGGGACGGAGGGGTGAGGGCGGGGAATTTCAAATCCCCTCCGGCACCGGGAGGCACTAGCGGATCCAGGATTTAATTTTGGGAGGGAAGCTT